TATATATATATATATATATATATATATATAGATATATATATATATACATATATATATATATATATATATATATATATATATATATATATATATATATATATATAAATATACATATATACATATATATATGTGTGTGTGTGTGTGTGTGTGTGTGTGTGTGTGTGTGTGTGTATGTTATGTGTATTTATATGTGTGTATATGTATTATATATATATATATATATATATATATATATATATATATATATATATATATATATATATATGTATATATATATGTATATATATATATATACATATGTATATATATATATATATATATATATATATATATATATATATATATATATACATGTGTGTGTGTGTGTGTGTGTGTGTGTGTGTGTGTGTGTGTGTGTGTATAAATATGCATATATATATACATATATATATACATATATGTATATACATATATAAATATACATATATATATGTGTGTGTGTGTGTGTGTGTGTGTGTATGTATAAGTATTATATGTGTGTATATGTATTATATAAATATACATATGTATGTATATATAAATATACATATATATATATTTATATATATATATATATATATATATATATATATATATATATATATATGTATATATATATATATATATATATATATATATATATATATATATACAGATATATATATATCTGTGTGTGTGTGTGTGTGTGTGTGTGTACATGTATGTTTTATATATGTATATGTATATATGTAAGTATACAAACACACACACACACACGCACGCACACACACAAATAAACTTATATGTAAAGATGTATGTATGTATGAATATATACATATATGTATATATGTATATATAAATATATGTATGTATGTTTATATACATATATGTATGTATGTAGATATGTAGAGATGTATATATTTATGTAGGCAATATAAATGCCTCTTTATATGTATTATGATCTAGAACAACGAATGTCACGAAAACATTAATGCAAACATTGAAAAAGATAATGCTAATCACGAAAAAACATAGTGTATGAGTAAGCATTATGATCAAGAAAATAAAAAAAACATTCAGAATAAAATAACAACAGCTTGAGTGCAGTTTTGCCAAAAATGATAGGAATGTTGCTAGTATTTAGGATACTGGGTATGCATTATGATGTATTATGCATTATGATCAACAATAAACAACAAAAACAGTAACGATAACAGAGGATAATAGAAATAGCGCTAATGCGAAGTATAATGCTAATGATGATAGATAAATTTTCACTTCATCTCCAAAAATCTATTTTATCCTCCCTGCATCACTTCTTGTTTATTGCGGATTTTCATTGCCTCAAAAAACGGGAAAGATGAAAATAATGCAACTACGATAGCATGCGTGGGTTAGTTGCAACTTATCAAGGCAAAATTATATGTTCGCAAAAATGTTTTTTATCAGGTGATTAAAATGTGAAATTTGTATATTTATATAAAGAATAGATAGTACGTAAATGAAGATTTTTATTCTTTATTTATCTATTTATAATTATTATATTTTCCCCTTTAAGCAGATGATCTTAAGAATAAGGATTTTTACTGTTGTGTATTTTGTCGTATTTATGTGTAATGTATTTGTCTGTGTTTGTATGTACTGTATTTGTTATCATATGTTTTTGTGGACATATTTTTTTGAAAGACCGACATACAGGTGAAAAGAGACAAAGAAAGAAAGAAAGAGAGAAAGAGAGAGAGAGAGAGAGAGGAAGGGAGGGAGAGAGGGAGAGAGGGAAGGAGTAAGAGAGAGAGAGAGAGAGAGAGAGAGAGAGAGAGAGGAAGGGAGGGAGGAAGGGAGGGAGGGAGGGAGAGAGGGAGAGAGGGAGGGAAGGAGAAAGAGAGAGAGACAGAGAGACAGACAGGCAGACAAAGAGAGCGACAGACAGATAAAAAGAGAGGCAAAGAAAGAGGGAGAGACAAAGAGACCGACAGACAGATAAAAAGAGAGACAGATAGAGAGAGAGAAAGACAGACAGACAGACAGACAAAGATATACGTTCATATAACTCAAACAAAGAAAACTAAATCATATCCCTAAAAAAATATTTTCATCCGCATGAATTGTACGTTGTCATTGGAAAAGAAAAAGTATAGATACATTCTTTTTTTTATATAAATGTGGGTTTCTTACTTATATTTATCATATTATATTATAACTTATTCCTTTCATGTGATGTGTACTGTAAGGTTTTATTGCTATTCAGTAGTGTTTTAATTTTTCATTGTCAACTAGTTAACCAACGAAACAGCATTGGAATAGTAGCCTACTAATGTGATAGTAGTAACGGTAGTTGTGATAATATCTGTATTATGAATTATTAATAATGGCAAAAGTAACAAGGATGATGATAATGATGTTAATGAAGATGACAATGATGATAATAATAACAAAATCAAGAATGATGATGATGATGATGGTGATGAGGAGGAGGAGGAGGACGAAGATAATAATGATGATAATAATGATGATAATAATAATAATAATAAAGACTCTCATGGTAATGATGATGATGATGATGAGAATAATAACGATGATAATAATAATAATAATAATAATAATAATAATAATAATAATAATAATAATAATAATAATAATAATGATATTGATAATATTAACAATATTATTATCAAAATCATTTTTATTATGACAATTATAATAATTATAAGTAATGATAATACTATAACATTGATGAAAATAATCATAACATTGAAAATTATTCTAATGATTATGCTCATGATAGTGATGAAAACGATAATGACGATAACAATATTGAAAAAAAATGTATATCAGAATGATAATAATTGCATTGATAATTATAATGAAAATAATGATTGTCATTTTTAGTATTATTACTATGAATATTATCATTATTACCATCATCATTATCATTATTATATCTTAATGATCATCATAATGATTACTGTTTTCATTATCCTTATTATCATTGTTGTTGTTGTTAGTATTGTCATCATCATTATTGTCATTATTGCCATTATATAGATTTGTATATATGCATATATATATATATATATACATATTATATATATGTATTTGTATATATATATATACATATTATATATATGTATTTATAAATATATACACATATATATTACGTATATATACATATATATGGATTTATTATTTCGCAAATAATCTTTCGAAATTAGTTTTAGATTAATAGGCAGATAAGTTAATCTCAACATAATTCATTTACCTATGTAATATAAGCACATTTGGCTGACTTTGTATCTACAAGGATACATTTTAGTGTACAAATTACATTACAAAAAAATATATATATATCTGAATGATCAAACCCCCAAACTTAGAATCTTCACACAAGATAAAAATAGAATCCAGTAAAAAATGTTTATATATAATCTACTAATCGCCCGAAACCTCGATATTGTTCCATGGTCGCTGGCTGTCTTGCTACTGTTGAATGTCCGAGCGATTTCCCCCAATGCCGCGTTTTCTTTATTCGCTTAAAGAAAACGGCATCATGTTAGCCTTCTTCTGCACAGAATCCCGCCATTTTATGCGATGCTGTTAACGATATGCTATAGCCTCCTATCTTCCATTTTTTATTATATTGAGAAGGATGAAAATCTTCGTGGATGTTGAGGCAATTTAGCAACTCGTGTCCAGAGGCGAGATAAGGAGGCAGCGAGGGATCTTGGACGTAGCAAAATTTTCTTTTTTGTTTTAGCAGCGTTATATTTCAGAAGTCGTATAGCGCAACAACTTAATGGTAACTATCATTACTATTTTTCTCACTGTTAGTGGTACTCTTACTTTTATTTTTATTTTCGTAATTGTTTTTATAATCATCATTATCAGTCATCATCATCTTATTATTTTCATCTTTATCATTATCAATGTTATTATTGATGTTGTCACTACTATGATCCTTATTACTATTGCCATTATTATCGCAATTCTTGTTGCCATAACATAATTACTATACTTATTATCATCATCATTTTTTTTTCAATTTCTATTATTATTGTCATAATCATCATCCTCACCAGTATCATGATCATCATCATCAGTCACTCTCATTCTTGTCATCTTTATCATCGTCCTGAACATCATTATCGCCATTATCATCTGCATTATCAACTTAATCGTCACCATCAGCATTATTGCCATCATCCTCACCATTGGCAGTAATACCAGCATATCTATTGCTTTTGTTGGTATCAATTTCCCTTTACTTGTACACACTGACAGATAAATGACCTGAACTTACACATACCTACACGTACACACATACGCACACACTCAAATATACTGTACACATATCCACACACATTCACAAGCAAACATAGCACACGCATATTCACACACACACATATACGTGTACAGCCAGACATACAGATATATACACGCAAAAATACGTTGCTTTCGGAAAACCAGCTCACCCTAAGGGCAGATTTCACGTCCAGGAATCCCAAAGTATTTTGAATAATTCTGAAGTATTCTGAATAATTTCGTACATGCAAGTAGTTGGATATTACTGAGTGTACGTAGTAAGAGAGAGAAAAAAACAGTAATGATTATAATTACCATACGAGACATAACAAAGACGCTGAGCTATACGACTTATGAAATAAAACGTTACTAAAACAAAAGCGAAAATTTATTGTAGCCCAAAATCCATCGCTGCTTCTGTATCTTGATCGGAATTCCCTTCGCTTCTGATCATGAGTTGCTAAATCGCCTCAATATCCACGAAGATTTTTATCCATATCAATATAATCAAAAGGCAAGAGAGGAAGAGGTTATCGCATATCGTTAACAGCATCACATAAATGACGAGATTTTGTGAAACGGAAGCTAAGGAGGCAAACGTGATACCGTTTTCTTTAAGCGAATAAAGAAAGCGCGGCAATTAGGGACAATCAGGAGGGACTGATATAAAAACTGGAGCAACTGCGAGGTTAGCAACTCGGGCA